ACCCAGGCAAACCAGGAGTTCACTGCAAATAAAGATAATGCAGTTAAAACATGAGGCTGAGTACAGCTCTGGCAGTTAAGGTACATGAACCTTAAAGTAATAGTTCTCCTAAAAATGAAAATGTGAAATTCTACCTGCAGCCCAAGATGCCGAGTAGTTTGTTTCTTCATTGGAACAGATATGAAGAAAATAAACTGACATCACATCACTTGCTCAGCAATGGATCCTTTGCAGTGCATGTGTGCTTTCAGAACGAGAGTCCGAACAGCTGACTTGTGGATTATTGTGATGTTTTTATCAGGTGATTGGACCATTGTCATTGTGATATTGGACTTGGCATTGTGATTATTAGGGATACTCAATTCAGACTCACCTATAGAATGTCACCCATTTTTTAAACCATTCATATTAATATTTTGCTGTACCTGTGCATATTTTTTTATCAGTAAAGATAACATGAATTTGTAAAACGTATACGTTTACTAATTTTAACTACATTATTTTCCTATTTAAATTACAGTTATCTGTATATATAAAAAGGATTATCTTAACATTCTTTCTGTAAAATTTACTGTTTTGTTTGGATTAGTACTTTACAATATATTACTGTAAATTTAGCAGTTTGTTTTTCTATTTACAAAAATTTGATGACATTTCACAGCTTTTTTGTATTAATTTTTTTTTACAGTGTTTCAATGTTGATCTTGAGGGATTGGTTATATATTATCTGATTGTAAACTTCCACAATTAAATCTCATTGGAATATTTTGACTGAATGATACAGACAGACTGGATGATAATGAGATCAGATCTCTGTGTGGAGCACTGGCTGTTGTCAGACTCCTTGTGCAAACAAAAATATCACTGGATTATTACAATTAATGACAAAATTAATGTTTGGAAATGTAAACTGATATTTCCTACTGACACACTACAGCAAAAGAGAGAAATAACTGACTTAAAACTATTTATAGCGTGTAACCAGTAGATGGCAGCAGAGGAACACTCAAAACCATTTTTAGCATGTAACCAGTAGATGGCAGCAGAGGAACACTCATCAGCTCAGTTGCTATTTCTACTCCCTATTTATATCTTGCTTTTGAAGTTATTATAAAATTACTATTAAAACAAATTTTAGTACGCATACTGTACTGAAATATGAAGTGACAAGATCTATGTCATTGTAAAAATAAATAAATAAACAGACACCAACAGCCTAGAAGGGTTAATTATTTAAATACTTAACTACTACTTAACTAAAAATTAAATAAGTTAATTATTAATGGTAGGACTATAATAATTAAATAATAATGCATTACATATTTTATCTTTAAATGTAGAAGCTGCTAAATATATTCAGCCAACACAGACTTGTTTCTGCTGATGTTCGGTCCTCTAAGACAACCAAAACTTTGCTTCAAACTTGCTGAGCGAACTCACTCACGTGAAAATTCTTGATATAATCAATGACTAACTACCCAATTAATCTCTCATTTACATCATGTGTATGCTTTTTCTTTCTCTTGTTATATTGGGAAGATCTGCGAGATTTTGTCTGGATTTGTTTTATTTTGATCTTCAGCAGGACAAATTCTGCAAATACCCAGAATGGCGTTTATTAAAGAGGAGAGTGAAGACATGAGGATTGAAAAAGCATTCAGAGATAAACATGAAGATACTCTGGAACAAAAAGGTTGGTTTTCATTCTCAAATCTGAACTAATTTGTCCTGTATATTTTCTCAATTAATTTGCCTCTGGCAGGTGTTTTCGTACCCTGTCTGATGCACGGATTGCAGATAATAATTGTGGACAAATATAGGCTAGTTTGTGCTTTGTATTTGTCAAAATGTCTTGGTGAGTTTTCACTAAACACAGTCAGTTATGTCTTAAGTGAACATAAACAGTTTGACAAGTAGCCTAATCGGTCTGTGTACAATCCTTGTATCATTCGTTCATTCATTTTTTGATTTGATATTGAAAGTAGAAAAATTAGAAAACGGCTCATTTCTGCTTTTTCGTTTTTTTCCAAAAACCGAGAATTCAGCTTAAATTTTTCTTTCGTTCAGGGGTAGAAAAATTAATAAACAGCTTGAATATTCGATTTCTACATGTGGGCGGTAATTAAACGCCCCTTTCTGCTGATTGGTCAGCCGAAGATCAAACCGTGCCGTCATCAGTTCTTCCGAAGTATCATGCAGCAGAATAATAGTCCTCCACTGCTGCAGTTGCACGGATTCTTAATGCATTTACTGCAACTACATTTCATCTTTTTTCATCAAAAAGGCTAATGAATAGCTCGACACAACTCGTACCGGGGCAGAGACTAAACAGGGCTTTGTTCTGTGAAGACCAGCGGTTCTTAGTCATAGGGGGTCCCCAAAATAATTTGCTATAGCCTAAAGTATTAAAGTCGCTTTTTTTTTTATCATGATACATAGGCCTACTGTGATTTATTCCAAAGTGACTTATATGATGCATTTATATGGAGCTTGACACAACTAATTGAATTTGTACTGTGTAAATTTGAATTATTGACAAGTGTCATTTAACAAAACTGAATATTATGTGGCATTAGTTCTGAATTAGTTTTTTTTTTCACTTGAATATTAAACATTTGAAATTTAACACAACTGAATGTTTTTATGGCAGTTTTAAAGACGTATTTTCAAACAGCTAATTTTTTGTTCTGAAATCGTAGCCTGCAAATTAAAATTTTTAAAAAAATACAGCTTCAAGTTTTCAATATGCAGAAACTCAGATCGTACAGAAAGTAGGTCAGAGGTAATCCACAGGGAAGAGTAGATGATCTCCGAAAAGTAAAACGAAGCATTTTGGCCATTTAATAGTTTTCTGGCGTGAGCGTGTGGTTTAAGATCTACCTGATCATGAATCGCTCAGAGGTGGCCTAAGTGATTCTTAAACATTTATGGTTCATATACTTATATGTTAGGTTAGCATTCTCAGCATGTTAGCATTGGTCTAAGCCAGTGGTTCAAAATGGTGCAAAGTGGTGCAAAAATGTCACTGCAGATATTCTTTACAACTTAAAAGTAGCTTCTTAAAAGTATGTAAACCTTATTTATACAGTAACTTTAACAAATAAGCACAAGTCAACCTGCCATACCAAACAAGACCACAGGGAGATGCCAAAGGACTGCATACACAGATCCATGCAGAATAACTAAACACACCAAAATAGAAAACCATTCTGCGATCGTAACTCAGCGATCGGAAGTCAGATCGTACAGAAAGTAGGTCAGAGGTAATCCACAGGGAAGAGTAGATGATCTCCGAAAAGTAAAACGAAGCATTTTGGCCATTTAATAGTTTTCTGGCGTGAGCGTGTGGTTTAAGATCTACCTGATCATGAATCGCTCAGAGGTGGCCTAAGTGATTCTTAAACATTTATGGTTCATATACTTATATGTTAGGTTAGCATTCTCAGCATGTTAGCATTGGTCTAAGCCAGTGGTTCAAAATGGTGCAAAGTGGTGCAAAAATGTCACTGCAGATATTCTTTACAACTTAAAAGTAGCTACTTAAAAGTATGTAAACCTTATTTATACAGTAACTTTAACAAATAAGCACAAGTCAACCTGCCATACCAAACAAGACCACAGGGAGATGCCAAAGGACTGCATACACAGATCCATGCAGAATAACTAAACACACCAAAATAGAAAACCATTCTGCGATCGTAACTCAGCGATCGGAAGGCGGGTCGATGTCATCAGTGAACAATTGATTGGTTAGTTTTGATGCTATACATATCTAAATATGTTGATGTCTGTTCATTTGTGCCATTTAAATGAGGTTAACTTGTATTGGTCTTTTTTTTTTGCTTTAGATCTGATGCCGCTGAAAGAGGAGAGTCAACAATTGAATGAAATTGAAGACAAAGTTCAATATGAGAAATATCATGATTTCATAGCTGGAGAAAATGTGTTTAGTTGCCCACAGATTAAAATTACCACACTAAAAAAAGATCAAGAGACAGAAGCTGCAAGTCATGCCACCTGCCAACAGGGTGGAAAGTGTTTCACTACAAAAGGAAATCTTGAAGTCCATATGGAAATTCACACGGGGGAAAAGCCTTACACCTGCCAACAATGTGATAAGACTTTCATTTACAAAGAAAGCCTTAAAAGGCACACTAGAGTTCACACTGGAGAGAAACCTTACACCTGCAAACTGTGTGGAAAGAGTTTCAGTCAAAATGGAAGCCTTAAAAGCCACATGACAATTCATACTGGAGAGCAGCCTTTCACATGCCCTCAATGTGGAAAGCGTTTTACACAAAGAAAGACTCTTAATGGCCACATGAGTATTCACACAGGAGAGAAGCCTTTCACTTGCCAACACTGGAAAAAGTTTCAATAAAAATGGAACCCTTAAAAGGCACATTGGAATTCATACAGGAAAGAAACCTTACACCTGCAAACTGTGTGGAAATAGTTTCATTCAAAAAGGAGGACTTAAAAGCCACATGAGAATTCATACTGGAGAGAAGCCTTACACATGCCCGCAGTGCGGAAGGAGTTTTACCCGTAAACAAACTCTTAATGCCCACATGAGAATTCACACTGGAGAGAAATCTTTCACCTGCTAACAGTGTGAAAATGGTTTCACTTGTAAAATATCCCTTAATAAACACACAAGGATTCACTTGAGAGGACTTGAGATATGTCATCCGTGTGGAAGGAGTTTCACAGACTGTAAGAATCGTAAGAACTCACATTAGTGAAAAGCCTTTCATGTGCGACCACTGGGTACAAACTTGCTCAGACAGAGCAAATCTTGGGATTCACATGAGAATTCACAGTAACCGGAAGCCTTTCACATGCCATCACTAAGAGTTTCAGCTCCAAAGGAAACTTAACACGTAAGGTGGCACAATAAAGAGATGAGGTTCACTTGTCTTAAAGGTATAGCTTGTCCAAAAAATAAAATTGCCATCATGTACTCTACTCACCCTCAAGCTGTTCCAACCCTGTATGAGTTTCTGTCTTTGATTTATCACTCCCTCATTGATTGTACATAAGAGCACCTGCTGATTTCTCATCTGAGGACTGATGTCCTTTCAAATGCTCCACAGAAACTGGAGAGTGTTGAGGTGGCGTAGTTGAAATAGTGAATCTATGTGTAGTAGAAAAAGTTAGCGAATTGTTACATTCTTGTGTGGAGTGATTATTTATTTCCCTCTAGTTTTTGTATGTTTATATTCCTCTTTTAATCAATCTTTTGATTTGACCTATTTTTATATATATTTTTTTCATTTATTTGAAAGTGTGTTGCCCTTTGATTTCAATATAAATAGTGAACATTTATTTTCATTTTGAATTATTTTTGAGCCCATTGGCAGATAATTGTTCTTGTTTTAAACATAAACGCTCTTCATTTTGATTCATTTCTCAGGACCCAAGACTTATTATCATCAGTCACTTTTCTCCTTGATTTATCTTGATTTAAAAATGAACAGCAGTGTGATCAGAAGGCTGTGAAGTATGAGTTATTTCTACTGAACTATAAATATAGAATGATTTAAAGGGGTCATATGATGCGATTTCAATTTTTCCTTTCTCTTTGGAGTGTTACAAGCTCTTGGTGCATAAAAAAGATCTGTAAAGTTGCAAAAACTAAAGTCTCAAATCCAAAGAGATATTCTTTATAAAAGTTAAGAGTCAACCACGCCTACCTAAACCAGCTCGTTCTAACACACCCCCACATATCTACCTCACTATGTGGGAAGATTTACATAACGCCGCCCAAATGTTCACGCAAAGAAAGAAGACGTAACTTTTATTCTCGCTGTAGTATTCTTGTTGCCGCCGCCATGCCATGGAGACACTGTGTTTCATTGTGAAAGTGAAACTACTTTGTTTGGTCTTCCAAAAGAGGACGATATCCGCTTCGTCATGCCTGGAGCTGATCTGTGCTGGTCGCTGAGGAAATGCATCAACTTCACGCTTGAGGAATTCGGCCAATCACAATACACTGGATTGCTGGCCAATCACAGCACACCTCGCTTTTCAGACCGATGAGCTTTGTAAAAATCGACACGTTTCAGAAAGGCGGG